CTTTGTACTATTTATATTATGGTACTTTACCTGTTAATCATTATTCTTCCTACCTGTCCTATAACTCCATTGTTAATAGTTCCCCAGTTCCTACTATAGTTCAGGTATATGAAGAATTCTCAGTAAGTTACTTGCCAAATAAATGAGACAATATAGATCTTTAGTACATAAACCAAACAAAACCTTGGGGAATTAAAATATGCCAAAAAATAAATAATAATATTTCAAATAGTAGAAACAATCTAGACATTTGTCCTTATACAATGGATAAGCATAGTCTTGATCCTTCATCAAGGAAATCTTTACAACAGATGGAGACCACTAGAGAAAACTATAACCAATTTAAATGCAAAGTTCTGGAGCCCAGTTCTAATGGCTACATCTATAAAACAACTCTTGAACATAAGGCTCAGGGTACATTGTAAGAGGCAGGGGATTTGGGACTGTGTCTCCTAGCGATGAAAAGGCTACACCAAGTTTCACCAACATGTCTGCTTAAATGTGAGCTGAAAAAGCACAACAACAAAGAACATGTCAAAGTGGACATGGGAAAGCCCATGAGGCCTCAATTGTACATACTACGGGCAATTACAGAATACTGAGAATGGGGGAAACAGTCTTTCCCAGGGAAGAGCATACCAATTGGTTATTTAATACCAAGTGGTCAGGCCTGAAAACATTCATATGAGTAATGTCGTTCAGACTGAGCGGGTTATATTTAGGAACATATGTCACGTAACAACAATCAATGAAAGAAGAGGTCATGAATTTGAAAGACAGCAAAGAGGGGTACAGTAGAGGGTTTGGAGGGAGGAAAGGGGAAGGAAAAATGTTGTAATTATATTGTAATCTCAAAATAAAAACCAGAAAAAAGTTCTACTTCTTTAATTTTAAAATGTTTTCTTGTTGAGCACAAATTATGTGCATAAAAAAACCCACCATGTAATTGTGGAGATTATATTCTCCTTATTGTGAGATTCTTACAGAACTACTATTCCAAGAATGAGCGGAATAACATAATTCAGGGATGGACTAGGAGTATGTCCTCTACCCTAGCCTGTATAAAGACCCACAATGTTCTGAGTGCTTAGGCGATTTCTGTAAGACCTGTAGCTCATATCTCAGTCTGGGACATATGGTCCCATTTTCTGGGGTGACAGGACTGTCCACTAATCTTAGCTGTGTTGGCCTGAACTACCTAGAGTCAAGGCTCTAGCACAAGTCTCAATGCTCTTTTATCAAGACTGAGCTCTGCCTAATGCTCCCTAAACCTTCCCCAACCAAATCCTTTAGTCTTCCTGGTCTTACTTTGGACAGAAAGAAGTGTGTATCACAGTTTGTTCTCTAAAAAGTCTTCCTCAGAAATCAGTACTTGATCCAGAACAATAATTAGTACACCTACTACTGGTCCCCAGTACCTAACCTTCTTGTTAGGGGCAGTGTTGTGTCTACTACCTGGCTTTAGGATGAACATGATTGTATTTGAAGACAGGGTCTTTAGTAGAAAAATATCTGCAATTAAATGAAGTTTTGATGATAGGTCTTGATCCAATTTGATCTGTGTTTTTGGTAAGGGGAACTAGGAGCACATAAACCACTACAGACATGTGAGTATAGTGAGAAAGTGACCAGGTGCAAATGAAAAGAGGCCTCAGGACCAGTCAAGTCTTTACCTACGACCCAGAGTTGTAGCAAAAGAGGTTCCTGTTGTTTAAGCCTAATTTGTGGCATTTTGTTGTGGTGGCACAACAGGCAACACATTCCCCAGTCATTTTCCATTCCCAGATGTGTGGATCTAACAATATCCACTAGGCAGACTGGGGTGGGGTGGGGTGGTATCTGAAGTCTAGGTTCTGGTGTGTCTCTGGGATATGACAGGAAAAGAATAAAACCAAGACCCAGGGTGGCTGAAGCTTGAACAAGGGGCAACTGACATAAGCCTTTCCCTTATCAGGCATAGGTGAGTTCTATCCATTTGTACCCTGTTCAGACTTTTAGACTGTTTATGTGAACTTTATTATTCAACAAATAATGTGATGAGGATCAAGGCATGGTTAGATGAGACTCAATGTACATTTAGCTCACTTGAAGTTATCTGACCACTTTGTATCCTGTTTTTCAGATGTAGTGTTGGGGAGGGTGAAGGGGGTAACCTTTATCTTCTTTCTCATGAAGATTAAGAATTGCTATGCTTGGAGAAGGTAGAAAGGGAGAGAACAGATGTTCACAATGGCTAACTTTGGCTAAGATTTAAAGCATCTTCTCTATGTTCCTGACCAAGTCTTCTGTTGTCCTGGAAAAAAAAAATCCAGGGCTAGTTGGTGGGGTAGCATATGGCTTTGATCCCAGCACTTGGGAGGCTGAAGCAGGAGGATCTCTGTGAGTTCAAGGCCAACCTGGTCTACAAAGCAAATTCCAGTACAGCTAATGCTGTTACATAGAAAAACCCTGGCTCAAAAAATCAAAACTAAAACCCATCCAGGGCTATAGCTTCAGCCTCAACAAATTCTTTACAGTTTCATTTCAACTGACCATCACTAGTTTCAACTGTACAGATGTACACTGAATCTCTTTGGGAATTCTGCTCTTGGCCTAGCTTCATGCATATGAAAAGTTTGCTTGGACGGTTCTTTTGGGTCAAGGTTTTGGGATGCTAAGAAATCCCTGAACGTGATGTCCCCCTCAGGCCAAAGGTACAGTACCTCAGGCTACTGGTTGGGTAGGCCAGCCCATAGGTACTGAAACCAACCACTAGGCCACAGTATTAGTAATGAAACCACAGATTCTCTTATCCTTTTCCTCTGACCACAGTGTGCATATATTCTCATCCTTCCCACTATGACCTGAACCAAATGAAAATGGTCCCTTGGTGCTGTTCAAATCCCCAAGAGCCTCATGAACAAAAAAGACCATTGGTGGCCACTATAAGCACCAGGTTAAGTGGCTCCCATGTTGGGGAATGGGAGTTGAACGAGCCATGTTCTTAGGATGATAAAGACACTTCAGTTAATTCTAGTGACTCATCAAAAAGTAACTAGAAAGTAGGCAGTATTTTTCCATGTGTAGACCCACAGAAACATCCTAACTTTTACCCTACAGGACTGCTCAAATTGAGGTTCAAATGCTACTTGAGAGAAGCAGGAACATAATAGCCACATAGGTGATCAGATGTCAACACGAACACAGACAACTGTCCTCTGCTTATCGGTACCTCTGATAGGTACCTATAAAAGTATAAACCCTAGATATGACCCTTTCTGCTGTCAGGGGATACTTGCAGTGAATGTGACTCTGAATTCTTGAAATCTACCAGTAGTTTCCACCATGAGATCATAGTTAGCCAACACACTTCCTCTACATTCCAGTTGTTGAGTTATCAATATCTTGCTTTTGGAATCTCCAGAAATCAGAGATGACGTATCATCCAACCCTCCCCTGTAAAGCAAGGGAAGCCAGGACTAGGGGCTGACATTTCTTGAGTACTCTGTGTTCTGATGGCAGCAGGCCTTCAGTCTCAAGGACCAACATAGGTCAAGGCCACCAGATGTTATTGATGATCTTGCTATTACAAGTGGTGTCTTTTATCTCACCCTAAAGAACTGGGCTAAACATTTGGCTCTTAGCCATTCTGGTATCCTAGCCCCTGCCATAAGGGGCAAAGGAGCCCGAGACCATTTCCAAATTCTAAAGCAACTACAAAAATAAAGTAAAATATTAAGAACATATAGATACACACACACATATGGATGACACACATATGGACTGTATACGTTACCTATTTTCTTATAAAATAAATAATTTTCTAGATAAATGAAGCGGTATATACAGAGATGAACACTAAACAATAGCAGATAAACCCTGCTTCCTGAAGCAATAGTCTTTTCAGATCCTTTTAGAAAAAGGAGGCCAAAAGTCAGCACTGTGCTGATTTAAGGATGCTAACAATCCCGACCTATAACTGCTATTCTGCATTTCAACACAGAACTGGTTGTCAAAGAGCCAGAGAGTCAGGGGGCAGCAATTCGATCCAGAAGGTTACAACACTAAAGACACAAACCTGTGGCTCAACATCCTTCCCCTGCATCCAGCAGCAGCGGCAGATGGCAGAGGAATTAACCTTGCTTCAGACCACAGGGCCCACTGCTGAGAGAGGCTTGTAAGTAGATTAAGCCCTGATCCTCTGCCTCTAAAAGCCCCTGACCCATTTCTCTGTCCAGAAAGAAAACTGCCAAGGTAAATCAGACAAGCCGAGGGTCAGAAAGACTCTGATCAACATAGGCAACATCAACAAATGCTGGTTTTCTGAGGAGAGACAGCAGTGTAAACAATCAACAGTGACACAAGGAATCGTTAAGCGCATTAATAGGAAGCTATGTGGCTTTAGTGTTACCACATGTTCTACTCTTTTATAAAAATAGGATATCGCCCCGCCCCCACCCTCATCCCTAGCCTGGGTGCCAACAGGACAAGCTCTCACAGCCTGGTGCCACCACACTAGATACACTAAAGTTGTCCTACAGGTGTTTCCAGAAACTTCACCGCAGAGCTACCTTGTGATCCTGTACCTGAGCACAAGGGCAGTGGGTTAGTTCAGCGAGGACACTGAAAGGACCAAACTGTCCTTCCTGCAGGAAGGACATCAGCAGTCTTGCAAAGAGGAGGAGTTGGCTTCCTGAAGGCTAAGCACCAATGCCCGCGAGAACTCTAGGCTTTTGCTCCTGTGCCAGGGGTTTGGGGGTACTGGCATGACAGGGTGGACCCTCTGCTGGTTCAGGTCTTGGAACAGTGTTGAAGGTCTTTTTTTAGCCGACCCCACAGACAGCCCGGGTACTAAAACCAGGTCCTCTGACCAGAGGGTTCTCCGGAGGCGACGGACGCCCTGGGTGGGAGGGGACAGCCTCGGCAACAGGTGACTACCCACGCCCCCCAGAAGCCTCCGAGCCGGGGTCCAGAGCGGCCCCAGTGTACCCGAAGTCTCTACGGCCGCCCGCGGCACTTACACGCTCGTGGGTCCACCGCCGGGCAGAAACGAAACTTTCTAGGGCCGAGCGAAAGAGTAGGACAGCGTAATGCCAGCGGCCATGAAGCGCACAGAACACCGAGAGCGCGCGCGGACTACGACTCCCGGCATGCTCCACGGATGGCCTACAACTTCCATCGGGTGTCACGGGCCGGTAGGAACTACGATTCCCGGCATGCTCCACGAGATGGCGTCCCTTTGGCGTAGCCTGAACAAGCTTTGCATACCCGGAGCATCGGGCCTGAAGTCGTCTGTCTGGGCTCCTGAGCTAGAGTTGTTGGCTACTGTTGTTAAGCACTTGTAATATGGCTGATTGGCTTTGAACTGTGTATGAGCCATTCATATAAAATAATGTACCTGATTCTCTAAGAACCCGAATTATAGGCTCAATACATATAGGCATCCTCCTGAATATTAACCTTCATCAGGCGATGAAAGGAGACAGAGACAGAGACCCACACTGGCGCACCGGACTGAAATCTCAAGGTCCAAATCAGGAGCAGAAGGAGAGAGAGCACGAGCAAGGAACTCAGGACCGCGAGGGGTGCACCCACACACTGAGACAATGGGGATGTTCTATCGGGAACTCACCAAGGCCAGCTGGCCTGGGTCTGAAAAAGCCTGGGTTAAAACCGGTCTCGCTGAACATAGCGGACAATGAGGACTACTGAGACCTCAAGAACAATGGCAATAGGTTTTTGATCCTACTGCACGTATTGGCTTTGTGGGAGCCTAGGCAGTTTGGATGCTCACCTTACTAGACCTGGATGGAGGAGGGTGGTCCTTGGACTTCCCACAGGGCAGAGAACCCTGATTGCTCTTTGGGCTGACGAGGGAGGGGGACTTGATTGGGGGAGGGGGAGGGAAAGGGGAGGCGGCGGTGGGGAAGAGACAGAAATCTTTAATTAATAAAAAAAAAAGAAAGGAAAAAAATAATGTACCTGATTCAAAAATTCCCCAAACTAAAAATAGTGCATTAACATTTTTGTGCTATTAATTTTTACTTATTGAACTAAGAAAATGAACCCACTACGTATCCCTGAACCTAAATTCTCAGATTTTGATTCTTCTAATTAACAGAGACATAAAATCAGTGTTTGAAATTATGTGCTATTGAACTACCTGCCATGCTTAGCTTCCTCAATTGTATTGAAACGCACCCTGAAGCCTGATACGAAGGAACGCAGCATTCCAAGGCCGGTATCGATGAACACGTACAGAGAGTACAGAAGATGTCAGCCTGAGGTTAGGTCCTGCTCCTTAGCTCTGGTTGGCCAGCCCTCCCTCTGCCTACTTCCTGCCAGTTAGCTAGAAATTCCTGTCTGCCTCACAGAACTCAACTAACTAGTGGCATCTGCCAGACCTCAGTGGTTCAGGTTTTCAGAATAGATTCACACAGGTTTTTCAAAACAGGGTTTTTCTGTTTAACATTCCTGCTTGTCCTGGAACATGATCTGTAGATCAGGCTGGTCTCAAACTCACTGAGATCGCCTGCCTCTGCTATCTTAGGTGCTGGAATTAAAGGCGTGTGCCGCCACTGTGTGCCACTTTGTGGACAAAGATTTCTTAGTTATTTTCATGTTTTACATACATGAGATGTATTTGAGATAACATACTAACTTGATGGAGTAGGCAGGTTGTGGATGGGAATAAAAAGGAGCCTCCTGACAGAAATGATTCCCTTTGCTGTTAACAAAGAACAACAAAAAAAGGGGGGAGAAGTGGGAGGAGATGACAATGTAAACAAAGAATTATCAGGCTAGTGAACAAAGAAAAACTTGCTCCAACCACAGTCTGAACAGCTTTGGCAGGATGAGAGAGATTTCAAGCACCCTTGCTTAACACTTAGAAACTGAATAAGTTTACAAAGAAGAGGAAGACAGGCATTGAACAGTGGTATGTTTTATAAGGGTAATGATGCATTTTGAGAATTTCATAGTTAGGCAATTCGTCTGGAGTATAGTTACACAAATTAAGATGACTATGACATCACTAGACAATTTAGTCTTAAGGGATCACAATCACATATGGTCCAACATTGACCAAAATATTGTGCAGCAGATGACTGTATATATTAAGAACCTAATATGTCATACCCTCACCAAAAACCTATACAGCACTGTGTTTAAAACTCAACATAGCTCTGTGGTGTAGGTAGGATTCATTTCTGTACTTCAAAGCGTAGGAGACTAGGAGACTGAGGCTCAGAGAGGTAAAAGAGTAGCAAATTCGCTTGGCTAAAGAACAGAGCTCTAAACAAGGATGGAGTTGACGGTTCCTGATTCATTTCTGCCCAAGACATTGTCAGATACACAAAATGCTCAGCTTTATCTACAAAGGAAAGGAGGCCAGAAGAAGGCAATGGATTCCCCTAGAGTATAACTGGTCTTTTTTTTTTTTTTTTTTTTTAACCATCAGCTCCCAAATAATGGCACGGAATTTTTTTTATTAATTATGAAAGCTTGCCCTTGTTAATAATCTATTTTTTTCCTAGCAACTTGCTGAAATTCCTGGTCTCTGGCTTCCATCTTTGGAGGCCCCGCCCCTGTGCCTGCCAAACTTTGACCCCTCCCCTGAGAGGGGCAAGGAAACCTGCCAAACCTTGACCACTCCCCCAGTCGTTTAAACTATCCCAAGTCACTGGGTGGTCTCCCCCCTCCCACCCCAGTGGTTGTCTTTGCCGGCAGAGCGCAGGAATCTCATTAAACCTGGATACCTTTTAATTTCGCTTGTTGTGATTTGGCTTGATTGGGATTTTTGTGTCTGCAGAGAGCTCGCGTTAGAAAAATTCCTAACGCTTGCATTTTCTGCTTCCTCAAGAAACAAATGCCTGAGGTCTCCAGGATGGCAGTTAAACAGATGTTTCTCCACTCGCACCTCCTGCTGAGTATGAGCCCACTGACTCCTAACTCCCCCTCTCCATATAATCCCATGTCCACCGGAAGCAGCCGGACATGAACTGGGGTCCCCATACCCAAAGAGCCTGTAATGTTTCAGTGGAAGCTCCACTGAAGCACTGTTAATAAAAACTTAGAGACAGAAATCGGGGTTCAATCTGAAGACCAGAAAAGCAAAGCGGCCAGCGGCTGGCTCTTACCTTGACCTTGGTCGAAAAAGGCAACCTTGCCTCCAGGAATGTCAGAAAGAGACTGGGAGTTGTCTCCTCCCATCATATAATTTTCTCTACTTCTAAGATAAAAGGTGTGTACCACTTTCGCCTGGTTTCTAGGGCAAGCTAGTGGGAATAAAGTTGTGTGTTATTGCTGCCTGGTCTGTAAAGTTGGCCAGTGTGGCTGTTTTACTTTTCTGACCCTCAGGCAAGTTTTATTTATTGAAATACAAAAGAAATGCCACTATACTCCACCTCAATCCCCATCTCCCACTTCTCTCCCCCCCAGACCCTGCCTCATCTCAGAAAGCCCACAAAGCATGACTCCTCCTCTAGAAATGCTCATGACCACTCCCACAGGGTATTTAAACTGTCCCCCCAGAAAACAGACACATGGGTTTTGGTCTCTCTTCCCCATCTCCTCTCTGGGGGACCTGGAAATTCATCCAGACTCATTTTACTCATTAAACCTGGACTTTTTCTAATTTAGTTTGATTTGGTCTGATTTGGATTGCTGAGTCAGAGGCTTATCAGGGTGGAGAAACTTTTCAGGCCTTAGCTTAGGCTTGTTCCTAACTAGCTCTTAAAATGTAAATTAACCCATTTATATTAATCTAGGTTCTGTTACATGGCTCCTTAAGCTCTCCTCAGTACCATATGCCCTACTTCCTCTGGGTCTGCTGGAGAATCCCCCTCATCAGACTCTTTCCCAGAGTTTCTTTCTCTCCCTGGAAGTCCCGCCTATCCTCTCCTGCCTAGCTATTGGCCATTTAGTTCTTTTTATTAAACCAATCAGAAGGTGCATCAGGAAGGACAGAAATGCATCTTCATGCAGCATACAAAAAAATTATCCAACACTCGAACTGGGGATTAAAAATGGTTGTGAGCCACCATGTGTGTTCTGGGACTGAACCTAGGGCCCCTGGAAGAGTAGCCAGTACTTTTAACTGCTGAGCCATCTCTCTCTCCCTTTGAAAGTTGCTTCTTCTTGATAAAGCATAACTATTTATGGCTTTATTTTTATTTTTCATTAATTCTTTAAAGTCTACTGTTGTGTGATTTTATTTGTTTATTTTTGGTTGAAAGAACAGGATCTGAGTTCTACCTCTGGCCATGGATGCAGACATAATAGTCCAAAATGCCCCAAGGGGCATTGTGGTGGAGTCACCTTATATTACCAGGGAAGTCTGGGTTCTCTCTTGAGGTTCTTAGTTTCATTAATAAAAGAATTTAAGAAATAACTCAGAAGGAGTCTTGAGGACAATTTTATTAAAGTTTCAAAGAAAAAACTGTAAATCAAAGGAAAATCCCAGGCAAGCAGTTTTCCGGAGGAGGAAGATGGAACAGAGGGGGAAAAAAGCAACCAACAGGAAGACACTGGAGTAGAGGTCCTTGTAGAGATGAAGTCATGGGTATGTGATCATGAGAATAAGCTGGAGAGATGCTGGAAAGGCAGAATCTAGAGGACGTGGCTCTGGCAGCTTAGGGAGAAGGGATTCAGTGCTTGAGGAAGATTCAGCTTTGGAGAATGATCAAAAAGGGAATGCTGGCATTATCATCCAGATGGTGGGAAGTCAGCTTTCTCTCAGTCTGGAAGAGATGAAAGGCAGTGGAATCTTCAGCTTGCATGCCTTTGTTAAGTGATCTTTGCTTTTTCCAAACTTTCATGGGTGTATTGGTGTCACCTGGAAGTTACAGCAATATCTTATTCATCTCCGCATTGTCTAAATAATTACTTAGTGCAGATGGTAGCACATATGCATTCAATTATGGGGTAAATATTTAAAAACTAGTTTGTGTGTTAGCAGTTGATGCCAGTACAGAACTTTTTTCAATTTAATGGGATTTTATGGTCTAGACTTCTTTGTGACTGTACTTCTTTGAGGATGTAATTATTCTTGTCCTGAAGACATTTTCTCCAGAAATTGTAAGAAGCACAGAACCAGACACCGCCAAAAAAGAAAAAAAAATCAGTTGGGACAATCTTATGTGTCAGCAACCTCATTGCAGTTAACACACACAGAGTTTGAGCCTTCCCACTGTCTGGAATTCCTTATAATTAGGATCTTCTGATCAATCGCTGATAAGCAATCTATGTCTAAGTGAGAGAATGAATGATGAACCAAGTCCAGGAAGTATTGCTTTGGATTTTGAAAGCCACTTTCCCACAGCTGTCATGTCTCTCCTCCCTGGCATCCACTGTTGCGTCTTCTGCAGCATTCCTTTCTGAACCACTTCTTGTTGCCTTCCTCCAACTTCCCTAGTCACCTGTGCTGTGTGCCCATCTTTTCCTTTCAGTAGAAGGAGGGGCCCTCATATGTAAATGCACCAGGGGAGTAGGAGGGTGGGATGGGGCTGGATGTCTTCTGCCAGCACAGCCGGACCTGCTGGAGAAGACTTTTTAGGTGTCTGCGAAACTTGACCCCAACAAAGACATAAAGCACTGGGTTGAAGCAGCAGTGGGAGAAGGCCAAATTGCGGCTGATGATATTAGCCATGTCTAGCTGCTGCCTGCTCTTACAGGTCTGCAGCATGACTTCAGTTGTATATAGTGTCTCTAGGAAGAGGATGAGGTTGTAAGGAGCCCAGCTGAGGAAGTATGCCACCACGATGGTGAAGATGAGCCTGACTGTCCGGTGCCTCTGTCTGGACTTTGAACGAAACAAGGTTCTGAGAATCTGTATGTAACAGAACAGGATGATCCCCATGGAGAGGAGAAAGAAGATGTTGTGCTGGTAGACTGAGGCCAACAACCCATGAAGTTCTGAATAAGTACATTGTGACTCAATCACCTTGTGGAAGATAGCTTCAGGGATGGAGGACAGGATACTGACTGCCCACACAGACGTGATCACCAGCACGCGGCAGCGGAGGGAATGGATGCCCAGAGTTGATATGGGGCTCACTACAGACAGGTAGCGGTGGATGGTCATAACGGTGAGGAAGAAGATGCTGCTGTAGAGGCTGATGGAGAAGATCAGGTTGAGGAGCTTGCAGAGAAAGTCACCTAGCAACCATTTATGAAATTGTGCTGAGATCCACACAGGCAGCAGGCAGGAGAAAATAAGATCTGAGAGACACAGGTTGAGGATGAAGATATTGGTGAGTGACTCTAGATTCTCATACTTCACCAAGACCCAGAAAACCAGGCTGTTACCCATCAGGCTGAGGAATAATACCAGAGAGTACAAGACAGCAGTGAATGTTCTTGCAAAGTGAATCTTCCTCTCACATAGTTCACTCTGAGAATCATAGTCATACTCAGAGATTGTAGAGGACTCCATTTGGCCCCAGGAGGCAGGGGTGCTGACAGCATCTGAAATGATAGACACGTGGGGTTTAAATCCATATGGATGGAATAGAGATCATTAGGACCCATGTTACAAAAAAGTAAGGTCCATGGGCCAGATTCTATTAGTGAGCTATTTATAACAAGATTGAGAATTGGGCCTTTACATCGTCATTATGGAATGTTTCTCTCTCCCATAGAAAATTTTTCTTGACCAAGGACATACAACGCTGATTTATATTCTGCCATAAGCCCCCTTCTCTTGGTAGATTGGCAACTGTGAAGTCCTAAGATAGCTCAAGCTCACAGTAGAGGGAGGTGAAAAGAGAAGTTGAACTGGACTAAAAGACTTGAAACCAAAGCGGGTCCCACTATTGTGCCTTTGTGCCAATGTTTAAAACCTTTCCAAGCCTTAGTTTCTTATATACAAAAGGGCTCCTGTTCCCAGAGTCATTCATTCCATTGCTCAGTAGAGGAAGAGAGAGCATTTACTCAATGCCATTATTCAATAAAGGACAAGAGAGTGCTGTGTCTGTCTGTCTTCCCTCTCTTTCTCACTCCCCTCTCTGTTTCCTTCCACCTTTTCCATTCCCTCTCATTTTTCTGTTCATAAGGTGCATAGATCTTGATAAAAGGCTTGCATTGAAAATTTTTTTCTTTCTTGGAACAGCCTGAAAAGGCGAGAGTAGAGGCAAATACAGCAGAACAATACTGAGGTTACATTCTGGGAGGCAAAAATTCTGGAAAGTCAAATCCTTGCTAACACAGAGAATTAACTCTCAGGGAAGAAAGCTTCTTCAGTTGAGAGCTTCATTTACAGGTCTTATTGAGGTGAGCAAGTGTCTGGAGTAGGCAAGGAGGAGAGCGGCTCAGAAAAGTGTACTGAGACAAACGTATTCAGCTTTCTGTGGCGACTGGTTACTAGAAACAGTGAGATGAGAAGGCTAGAGAAATGACTGGAAGGGCTGAAATTTTCATTTTGATATGTTGTAGAAGGTGCTGGGTCATATAGAAGAAGAGTGGAAAGCTTGAAGCAGTAGCTGTCTGAGTCAGGTAAGCATGTTCTCACCACCTGCTGTGTGTGGGGTACTGTGCCCATACACCATAGCAATTCCCCGTGATCCTGCAACTTGCTGTAAGATATATCTACCTCCATTTCATAGGAAAGGAAAGTGGGCCAGACTGGTGAAAACACCATCTCACCATAATAAAAACCAGGTAGCTGGAGTAGCTAAGACTGCAACTCAGGACTCCTATGTTCTTGTATTTTGAGGAAAATAACTGGAGAAATAGTCTGAACTTCTCAAATATTAAAGTTGAAATAAGCTGGGCATGGTAATACATGCCTATAGATGGACTATTCTGGGACTAAGGTGTGTCAGAATAAAACAGCATGGTTGGGGAAAAAAAAGAGAGACATGTAGATCAATGGAATAAATAGTGAACCTACACAGCTAGAACTACATACCAGATTTTTGTCAAAAATATGAAAATCATATATTGGAGAAAAGTCAGTCTTTTTCAACAAATTGTGCTAGGAAAACTGGTTATCTACATTTAGAAAAATAAGCTAGGTGGTAGAGGTGCACACTCAGGAGGCAGAGGCAGGCAGAGCTCTCTGAGTTCGAGGTCAGCTGGTTTACAAGAGCTAGTTCCAGGACAGGCTCCAAAACTACAGAGAAACCCTGTCTCAAAACAAACAAACAAAAAACAAAAAATAAGACAAAGCAAAAAAAACCCAGAGCCCCCCCCAAAACAGCAACAAAATAAACTAGATCCCAATAAAAAATACTTCAAAGTAAATTAAATACTTTAATGTAAGACCTGAACTTCTGAAACCATTAGAAGAAAACAGAGAAAACACTTCAAGATTTGTTGTAGGAGACCTTTTAGAAGAAGACTCCAGCAGCTCAGAAAATAATATAATAGACAAATGTGGTTGCATGAAATTATAAAACTTCTACATAGCAAAGAAAATAATCAGAGGAAGAGATGGTCTATAGAATAGGATACATTTGACAGAAGATATATATATGGAACTTTTAAGAACTAAATACTAAAAACCCAAACAACTCAATCAATAAATTAGCTAATGAAAGAAGCAGACAGTTCTCAAAAGATGAAGTATGAATGGCCCAAAACATATAAAGAATATTTAACATCATTATGGATCAGAGAAATGTAAATTAAAACCATATTGATATTTCGTCCCCTAGTCTGAATACCTATTATTGTGAAAACAACAGATGGTGGTGAGGGAGTGGGGAAAAAGGTGCCCTTATTCTCTGTGGTGGAGATGTAAAGTGTCGCAGCACTATGGAAACCATTACAGAGGTTCCTCAAAAATTAAAAGAAGGACTACCACATTATCCTTTCCTGAGTTTATGCTCAAAGAACTGTAAGTCCATACAACACAGAGATACCTGAGCATCTATGTTTCTTGTAACACTATTTAGAATCAGCTAATTGTTATCTATTAATTGATGAACTAGTAAAGAAATATATGGCTTGTATAGTATTGTGGTTTGAAAGAGAATGGCCCTACAGGCTCATATATTCGAATGCTTAGACACCAGTTAGTGGAAGAGTTTGGGAAGAATTAGGAGGCGTGGCCTTATTGGAGTTGATGTGTCAATAAGAGTAGCACTTGAGTTTTCAGAAGCACAATGCAGGCCCAGTCTCTCTCTGTCTGCTACCTGCGAACCAGAGTGTAAAACTCTTAGCTATTACTATAATACCACGCCTTTCTGCTTCCCACACTGATGATCATGGCCTTGCTCTCTAAAACTATTAAGCAAGTCCAAATCAAACGCTTTCTTTTACAAAAGTTGTCTCCATCATGGTTTCTTTACACAGCAATGGAACAGTAACTAAGGTATATAACACAGTGGAGTTTTATTCACCCATAAAGAAAAAGTGATATTAAATCATTTGCTGGAAAATGGTTGCCATTGGAGATCATTGTACAAGCAATATTGTATAAATATTGCTTATATTTTCCCTCCTGTCTTGAAGAAACAGATAGCTAGGGTTGGGACAACTAAAAAAAAAATACTGGGAAGTGAGGAGTATAAATTACAAAAGAAAAAAAGAGATATAAGTCCCATATTTTGTCTATATTTTTGCTCAAATGGTATTTTTTAACCATAAATGTACTAACGGTATCTGAAAGAACTGAATTGATATCTGAAGTGCTGCCCCCTGCAGGGGAGGCAGAACTAGTGTTAGGATTTTTTTCAAATATTTGAGGAAGAAATAACACGAACCTTCCACGAATATTGAAAATTTATGAGGCAAGTATAAACATGATACCAAAATCAGACAAAAAATTTACAACAAAAACTACAGATTTATAGTCTTCATGAATATAGACACAAAAATTCTTTTACTTTTTTGAAAGAGACTGATCTTAAACTCATTATATAACTAAGGCTCCTGAACTTCTGATCCTCCTGGCTCTTCTTTGAGATTGGTAGGATTCAAGGCCTGTGGCCCTATGCCAGGTTTATGCAGTGCTGAAGACTAAGTCCGGAGTTTTGTCCAGGCTAGACACAAGTTCTGCCAGCTGAGCTACATCTCTATATCAACACAAAAATTATTTCCAAAATGTAAGTTAAGTTCAATAATACATTTGAAATATTTATTTATTTGTGTTTATGAGTGTATGCATCACATGTTTGCCATGGTATGCGTTTGGAGGTCAGGGGACAACATGTGGAAGTTGGTTTTCTCCTTCTACCAGGTGGATCCCTGGAATAGAACCCAGGCCCTGAGGTGTCGTGCAAGCTCCTTTGTCTACTGGGCTATCTCTATGGCCCCAGGAATGTATTTTAAAAGGTAATATAACATAACGAAGTGTGTTTGTCCTAGAAATGTGAGCTTGCATAAATATTTGAATGTTAAACAGTTTAGGTCATCATATTTAACAAAACAGAAATGAAACCTACAACATCTTTCTGGTTAAATATACAAAAGTATTTGATGAAGTTTAACATCCATTCTCAATTCAAGTTCTCAACAAGTTGGAAACAAACAAACAAACAAACAAGACCACTCAATTTTCTTGGAAGATTTGGAAGAAGTCCTGTTCTGTACTAGAAACTTGGAATTCCAAGGCAAAGAGTTGCCAATTCTAAGCCTCCCTGAGTGGCATCTGTGAACTGTAGTTCTCTAAAGAAGTTGCTGTGTATTGGGGACTGCAGACTCTTTGTCCTTAGTTTACTAGCCTTTTTAATTGTGGAGAAATGGAATGTTGCAAATAAAGAGCCAAAGTTATCTTTACCCTTGTAATATCCCATTGACATATTCTATCAGCTTCTGTATTTGTTGTAATATCCCAACTCCTACTAGCACTAAAGTTAAGAAGGACACACTATCTCAGTTAGATCTGTATAGGAAATCCCCATGTCACGATGTAGTTGCCTACCTGAGGACATAGCCATATAATAGCCAAGGCCATAATTTATGACTTTCTTTTGTTCTGTGACTATAAAAGCTCATGTAAAAGTTTGATGTGTTGGTTTATGCCTGTAATCCCAGAAACCGTAAGGTAGAGGCAGGAGAATTAAGATCTTAAGGCCATCCTCAGGAACACAACAGGTCAGTTTGGGTTATCTGAGACTCTGTCTCAAAACCCAAAATATCATGTAACCTTGTCTCCAGATAACTTGACTCCATGTTCTGGGTCATGGGTACTCATATTTGCAATAAACTGTTTTATTCTTTAAAATGAGCTGTTATTTTATATTAACAGATTCTATGAATTAAATTCCGTGTTTCTGTTGTGCCTCCTCCTCACCATCCCCATGACTTATCTCAACTCTAAGGGAATGAATTTAGTTTTTGTTCCATGGGATAATTTAGATTGAGAAACAGTTCTAAATTATCCAGTCATAAAAAGTAATAAGAATTTACATAGCAACTTGGAGTCACTTCTTCCAGCAAGGAAAATATTATATCTTTGTTCTATTCAAGGAAAGAATCACAGATTGCTGATTCTTGGGGAAGCCCAGATGAAAGGAATCTGCATCCCAGATGCAAGCCTCAGAATTCTCAAGCCTCATTAGACTGACAAGTGGTTCTGATGATCACCAAACTTCAGAGCCTCTGGTGCAGGTTATTAAAAGAAGAAAACGTAAGTTTAAAATGTATGAAAAGGAACTCACCTGAGTATGCACCACTGTCCATGTTACTCTTCCAAGCCTGTGTGCTTTGTGCGTCCCTTGATTTCCTCTTCCAGTGCTAGAGCCTCACGTATGCTCGGCAACAACCCTGTGATGGATACAGGTTCCAAAAAATTGTCTAACCTGACTCCCAACTTCCTCTTTACTAGGTAGGATCAAGTTTTGAAATTAAATTTTTATTACGCCTGGTTTCAGTATGAACAAGATACAATTTCTCTAGTCTTAAATATAAAGCTCTAAAACAATGTTTAGACGTGGACTTGGGATCTTTTTGTCTTACTGTCCAGTCAGGAAACACCAACAAGATCCATGGCTCTGTTTGTGCTGCAATTCCATGCAAAATGAGATCAGATGTAGACACAGTGTCACAAAACAGTGCGGTTTTCTAGGTGTGCTGGTACGTTCCCAGTAATCCCAGAACTTCAGAGATAGAGGTAGGAAGACCAAAATTAGGGTAAACCTAGTTATATATTAAGTTGAAGGCCAGCACGGGCTATAATAAGACCCTGTTTGAACATCCAAACAAATGACCCACGAAGAAAAGGTACTGATGCTGCACTGAGAGCTCTGGAAATGGCATCTTGGCCTGACTTTTTGCTGCATTCACAGGGGTCTCTGGTTTCCAGGTGAGTCCACATGATACGCCGGAATTTACCGAAATGTGTTAGGTCAGTGCTACAACTTCTTTTTTGGAGAGTGGTGAAGAGAATGGTTCTAGTGTGAAGAACCTGAAACATTGCACCTGGTTATTCATTCTTTGTGAATGAATGAATGAATGAATGAATGAATAAATAGAAAGAAAGAAAGAACACCCAGACTCTCAGTTGGTTTGTTTATGAGTTCAAACTCCCAGATTTCAATCAATTGATTTTGCTGTTTGATTTAAGAAAGTCTTAGCTCTCAATTTCAGTATCAGGGATAGTTAGGTAAAGAACTTTTACAGTCACTTCTGTATAGCACAGTATGCAGCACAAACACACCATTTCCCTTTTATGACAAGAAGAGGAAAGGGTCCCTGAAGTCTTTTCACTTCTCTCTGAACATTCTCGCTCTTGCTCTCCGAAGAGTTCCCCTACCTATCCTGCATCTGCTTTCCAATTTCTGTTACTGTGGTTGCCTGTTTTCCTGATCTCTAACACAAATACCAGGACTTCTTGTCTTCTTTTTAGGCATCTTCTCGGAAGTTACCAAAATCTACAGGTTACCTGCCATGTTGTTTTTCCTTTCAAACCCAAAAATTGTTTTCAAGTTTCCTTAAGTTCTTTTATCTACAAGACTAAGAACCACAAAAGAGTACTTGTATTCTCTGCTAACACTGCCTCTATCTCCTACATGCTGGTATTACAGATAATGACACTGTCTTAGGGTTATCTTGCTGTGATGAAACACCATGACCAAAAGCAAGTTGGGAGGGAAAGGCTTACACTTTGGCATTGCTATTCATCACTGAAGAAAGTTAACACAAGAATTAAAAGCCGGGCGGTGGTGGCGCACACCTTTAATCCCAGCACTCGGGAGGCAGAGGCAGGCGGATCTCTGTGAGTTCGAGGCCAGCCTGGTCTACAAGAGCTAGTTCCAGGACAGGAGCTACGGAGAAACCCTGTCTCGAAAAATAAAAAAAAAGTGAGAAGGGGAGGATGGNGTAAAGGGAGATGGGGAGAGAAAAGTGAGAAGGGGAGGATGGGGGGAACTTGGGGAAATGGGATGATTGGGATAAAGGAAGATTGGATAGGGGAGCAGGGAAGCACATATCTTTTTTTTAATTATTTATTTATTATGTATACAATATTCTGTCTGTGTGTGTCTGCAGGCCAGAAGAGGGCACCAAACCTCATTACAGATGGCTGTGAGCCACCATGTGGTTGCTGGGAATTGAACTCATGACCTTTGGAAGAGCAGGCAATGCTCCTAACCACTGAGCCATCTCTCCAGCCCCGGAAGCACATATCTTAATTAAGGGAGCCATCTTAGGGTTGGCAAGAGACTTGGACCTAGATCCCCGGTTAGTTCCTGGGGCAGCTGAGGATAGGGAACCTGAAATGGCCCTATCCTATAACCACACTGATGAATATCTAACATATCACCATAGAACCTTCATCTGGCGATGGATGGAGATAGAGATAGAGACCCACACTGGAGCACCGGACTGAGCTCCCAAGGTCCCAATGATGAGCAGAAGGAGGGAGAACATGAGCAAGGAAGTCAGGACCACGAGGGGTGCACCCAACCACTGAGACAGTGGGGCTGATCTATTGGGAGCTCACCAAGGCCAGCTGGACTGTGGCTAAAAAGCATGGGATAAAACCGGACTCTCTGAACATGGCGAACAGTGAGGGCTGATGAGAGGCCAAGGACAATGTCACGCGGTTTTGATCCTACTTCATGTTCTGGCTTTGTGGGAGTCTAGCCAGTTTGGATGTTCACCTTCCTGGACCAGGATGGAGGGGGGAGGACTTTGGACTTTCCACAGGGCAGGGAACTCTGACTGCTCTTCAGACTGGAGAGGGAGGGGGAGAGGAGTGGGGGGAGGGGGAGGGAGGTGGGGGCTGGGAGGAGGTGGAAATTTTTTTTTCTTTCTTTCAATAAAAAAAAAGAAAAAAAAAAGAATTAAAACAGGGTAGGGACCTGGAGGCAGAAGCTGATGCAGAGGCCTTGAGGGGTGCTGCTTACTGGCTTGATTCCTCTGACTTGCCCAGCCTGCTTTCTTATAGAACCCAGGATTCCAGCCCAGGGATGGCACCAGCCACAAAGGGATAAGTCTTTTCCCATCAATCAGTAATTAAGAGAATGTCCTACAGGCCTGCCTACCTCCAGATTATATGGAGGCATTTTCTCAACTGAGGTTCCTTCTTCTTAGATAACTTAGCTTCTATAAAGATGAAATAAAACTAGACAACAAAGCTACCTGTTGGGCTTATGGCAAAGTTTGTATAAAAATTATAGCCAACATTTTATTTTTTTTCAGTTCTCATCATATGCCAGGCACACTGTAGCTATTCTTTTCTTAAATTTATTTATTTTTATTTTATGTGCACTGGTGTTTTGCCTGCATGTATATCTGTGTGAGGGTGTCAGATCTTGGAGTTACAGACAGTTGTTAGCTGCCATGTGGGTCTGGGAATTGAATCCAGGTCCTCTTAACTGCTGAGCAATCTCTCCACCCCTTAGAGCAAACTATTCTTTTAGCCTATTCTAGTCTATACTTTCCATGACCTTTCCAAACAGCTATACTATTCTTGAAGTTGTCTTACTCCCCTCTTCCCTCCCTCCCTCCCTCCCTTCCTCCCTCCTTCCCCCCTCTCTGTGTGCATCTTTATTGCATAGGACCATGTGTGACTCATATCCTCAAAACTCAACACAAATGTGGAGAGTAAAAAATCCCACAGCAAAACTGACATAACCTTCCTAGCTCTACTGCCCATATTCCCAAATATTGTCTATAAATGTTCTTTTACATTTAAAGGGAAATATAATATAGATATAAATAATTTACATTGGTATGGATTTTGCTTTAGTGATATAAATTTAAGGTCAATTTTGTTATATATATGTATATTTCTGCTATTGATTAAGGTATTATGATTGTGTAGTTCATTTAAAATGTAATGTATAATTAAAAAATATAGGTTGTTAATATATAATCATCAATAATAGTCAAGCTTGTAGTCATGCTAGTTAGATTTTCTAAATATATAAAGATATATTTCAGTTAAATAAGCATTCTTCGTATCTTTCAAAGACTACAAAATATGACATTTAAAATGTTTTAATAACTTAGGGCTTTTCATGACAATGAGACATGTCTGCTCCTGGCAGCACCAGCTACTTCATGAGGAAGATGGGCATTAAAGAGACCCCTTATGGAGTTTGATAGCCATTTGGGCAAGAAACTGCTCTTGCCTGGACTGATACATAAACTGGACATGCAGGACCCACAAAAAGACGACTGCTAAACTTGCCTAAAGGTGAGATGATTTTTCTGGGTTCCTGCTTCATAAAAGAGTCTCTGAGACATTCTACCAGACACACAAAAAAGTGACTAAACCGTTTTTAAACTTTCCTGCTTCATAAAAATGTCTGCTAAATACTATGGGCCTGTAGGCTAAAGATGGATGCCCCAACGGTACAAAAAAGCTTTGGGTGACTGTACAGGCAGTGAGATATCTCTGCCAATTCTAGAGTTTTGGAAGTTGCTTACTTCTTGTTTACTTAGGTAATATTATATCCTTCTAGATTCTTTGATGGAGTTAATTAATAGATAGTTATAGTTTTCCTTTGTTATAATAAAAGATAAAATAGATCTAAATATTGTAACTGTAGTTCTTGCTTGATACCTGTTATATGTAATTTTACTATGTTAAAACCTTCCTTTTCATTTAAATAGAAAAGGGGAAATGGTGTAGGAGGCCCTTCTGTATTTCTGTTGCTTTCATTGGTTATTAAAGAAACTGTCTTGGCCTAGTTGATAGGGTGGAACTCAGGTAGGCGGGAAAGACAAAACAAAATTCTGGGAGAAAGAAAGCAGAGACAGACAAGACACCATGGTTCTCCGGCCCAAGACAGACGTTGGTTAGACTCATGCCGGTAAGCCACAGTCAAGTGGCAATACAGATTATTAAAAATGGTTTAAATCAAGATGCGAGAGTTAGCCAATAAGAGGCTAAAGATAATGGGCCAGGCAGTGTTTAAATGAATACAGTTTCTGTGTTATTATTTTGGATGTAAGCTAGCTGAGCGGGACAAAACACAGGGCCCTGTACTCCCTATAACAAATGTCATATCTCTAGAGTTAATTCTCAAGGTTTGAACTCAGACTCCAGGACTCTGTGCTTATATAATTTTGACAATTCAGTTTCTCTGAACTGCAGATAATGACAGCACCAACCTCACTGAGTTGTGAGGATTAGATAAATTAATATGTCATAGGAAGTTGATGATATTGGGATAAAACATGCCAATCCTTTGGACAGAAATTGCCATTGGGCTCTGGCATACTTTCTTCCTTGGAAGTTCTCTCTTTCTTAATGAATGGTCTTTCTTTCTACCACTATCCATGTGTCCTTGGTTAATTCCTTGTTCTGA